ACGATTTCAAGTTATGCTTCAGAAGGAAGCACCGCACAATATGTAACACAGGATCCAACAAAGAACACGACACAGATGCAGCACATCCCTGCATTGCATAGTGTGACAAGCTTCGTGCACTTGTTTGTTGATGTTGCTGGGCGAGTGGCGGCTGATTCTTGTGCAAGACCCTGCTTCCAGAGTGGCCACAAGATCATTGGTACGCAACAGCGATGCACGAAGAGACGAAATGTCTTGAACTGTGAGCATGAGTGTAGGTCTGTTCTCATCATTCTTTTGCATCCGGAATTTTGCTGCGTGGTTTTAGTTGGAGTTTCTAATCAACGATTCAGAATAGGTACTTTCGTCTGAAATCATTGTTTGAACTGCAGCCATCCTTGAGTTGTTAGAGAGAAGTAACCTCAGTACTCTGAAGTGATGTCCACTCTTACCACAGACGGCAGTCAACATCACTCTATAGTATTCAAGATGAAGAGTCATCTTGTTGCAGTGCATCTACTTTTGAGGAGTTTATTGTGCGATGTGCTCGTGTCGCGAACCAATTTTGAGGCCTGGAGCAGCTGAACGAGGGCCCCAGCCTTGTGTGTCCTGTATACGCACCTGAGGCCCCTTCGTCGTTGGGCGAAGGGCCCAGGACTATTGCCAGTACAGAATAATAATTCTGAAGCTGGGCTGCCCTTGTACACCATTCTTTTAAAATTTGTTTGTTCAAGCTAGCATCTGCCCTGATGGTCGGGCAACTCAATTCAAGGCATCATGCGCCTGCCCTCCCAATTCAACAGCATCACAAGGTCTCAGTACACACCTTTGATGTGGATCCTTGGCTGACGCATGTTGTAGACGATTTCTTTCAATGCCCGAGCAGTTTGGGAATCGAGCTGCTGTGCGCCCCACATTTTGCTGGACAGCCATGAACTTGGCTGGAACAACATTCTGAGATTCTGCCGGCTGGGATGCAGTACACGAGTGGCCCTGCCCAGCAGTATGCGTTCGAAGGATCGCCTCTTGATGGGCAAATGTAAGCATTGCAAGTGCAGAAGGATCTGAAGCTGGGCTGCTTGCGCATGTTGGCCGAGACATGTTCGCAATTCTGTCTTCACCGCCAGCTTGAGAAGCAAGCTGTCGCGGTCGCTGCGCTTTGATAATGCTGCTCTAGACACATTTGAGCTTTAGATGAGCTCAGACACACTTTGCGGTGGTCACCAAGTCACTCAAACCAATCTGAGACCCGGCAGGGCTGGCATTGCGCACTTGTTTTCAGACCTTCATAAGCCCCTCACTCCCCGAGCCAAGTTTGTCCAAAACCATTGCAGATATGGAGAGGACAATTTGAAGTTGTGTTACTCTGATGTGGAAGCTGCTCAGCGTGCCTTGCCGGCGATTATTATACATCAAGGCCCCTTCACCTTGACACGGCAGATCTTTGACATTGTTCTACAGAGTTGGATACACTTCATGAGTGCTCATGCAGACCCTCTAGAAGCCCCCAACCGCCGACACCACCTATGTTGTTGGTCAAGTGTGAAGGGCTATCTCAAGTACTGAATGAAATGGTAGTTTCAAGCTGGGCTGCTGCCCCTCTGCTTCGTACACTCGATGCCAAGCAGTTTGTAAAGCAAACTGCCATCCACTCCCTGACTGGAATTGGAAAACCATTGCAGAACTTCTCTGACGATGTTCTGCAAGGTTGGAGACGCTGCCCTGATGGTCAGGCAACTCAATTCAAGGCATCATGCGGCTGCCATTCCACATTCAACAGCATCACAAGGTCTCAGTACACACCTTTGATGTGGATCCTTGGCTGACGCATGTTGTAGGCAATGTCTTTCAATGCCCGAGCAGTTTGGGAATCGAGCTGCTGTGCGCCCCACATTTTGCTGGACAGCCATGAACTTGGCTGGAACAACATTCTGAGATTCTGCCGGCTGGGATGCAGTACATGAGTGGCCCTGCCCAGCAGTATGCGTTCGAAGGATCGCCTCTTGATGGGCAAATGTAAGCATTGCAAGTGCAGAAGGATCTGAAGCTGGGCTGCTTGCGCATGTTGGCCGAGACATGTTGTTCCCGTGTCGACTCCCCGGCTGTTTGAAAGGCAGGCTGCTCCATGCGTCCTTGGCCCTACCCATTGCCCTTCAATATGAGCGGGTTAAACACATCACTTTGGCTTCTCTGAAGTAATTGCTTGGACTGTGTATATTGTTGACAACGCCTTTCAAACCACGTGGAGTCTGAGCTTCGTTTCACCTGCTTGAAAATTCAATGCCAGGATTGGATGAAAGCCGAGATCAAAGGCTCCGAACCGGGGAGCAGCACGCCTGCAGGCACAGCTCCCATCACCAAGTGCAGCATGGGCAGAGAGCACACCAATAACAGCAATAAAGTTGTTCCTGAGTGCGCGATGAACAAACAGCTATGGACAAGGCGATACTCATCACGGGCGGGCTTTGCTGGCGTGGTGCTTCAAACCACTACCATGAGCGCAGCAAATTGGAGACCAAACAGGCCTCCCCTGGTTGTTAATATGGTGTCTCATCCGCTCTCTGCGATATTCAGGAACATGTCTAAAGAGGTGTCATGACAGGTTCCAAACAGAGTTAGCCCAGACAAGCTTTCTGCCATTTCTGGTGATGGCCGCAATCTTGGAATTGAATAAGGGCTTGATGATGTGCACCTCCGTGACCCTTGAAATCCTCAAAAAGAACGTTGGGGCAAGAGTCTTGCCGGATCACAGCAATCACAGCGACGCTGGAGATATGGATAAAGTTAATGCTGCCGCTGCTAACTTCGGCTCTGGATGGTCGATGCGGCATTCTTCACGAGGTAGCTTTCAGATTTCAAGCCCTGAGTACGAACTGCAGCCATTGAAAGTTTTGAGCCCCACGCTCCACCCTATTCCGCAACACAAGAGCATAGACAAGCGATACCGTGATCTGGCACGCACAAGCTGACTTAAAACATAATGCTGCCTTTGCAGGTGTATAGTGACCCTAGCCAAATCAGGCATTGTGGAAGAAGAGTCGATTGTCTGTCAGTGGTTCGACCAAAGCAGCTGCACGCACAACGCAGCATGTCACTCTACATGCTTATTTACGATAAACCCTTGGAAAGACACGACCTGGCAGACCTAAAGCTCTGGAGCTTTTGATTTCTGGATCGCATGTGACATAGCCAGACTTTGAGATGTAAACTGCTTGGTGAGATCAAATTCAGCTAAATTCTTGGAGTTGTTTCGGGACATGACACCCTCGTTCCGAAGCCAAGTTTGGGACTTTCGAGGACATGAGGCTGTGCAGTCGTTGTGCGCTAAACTTTCGACCCAGTCATGGCAGAATTGCCAAAATGAAGGGTTGTCAGCCGTTGCGTTTCATTATTTGATGAGCAAACTTGTGCCGCAAGGAGGTGCAGCTCACCTCGAAACGCATCACTTCAGTGCTACTGCTTCGCATTGAAGCAAGGCCCCTCCAAACGGAATTGGGTTCCTTTCAGGGAATTCTGGCTCAAGCATTCTGGAGCAGTTTGCGGCCGTTTTCTGTCTTCAATGAAGCTCGTGCCTTGGAAATGCATTTTGCTCGTGAGCTCGTGAGCACACCAAGCTTGCTCGTGCAGAGTTCGGCGGCTAAGCAGGCCGAGATTGCAACACTTTCCTCAAAATTGACACCAGATCTAAAGTGAGTAGTTCCAGATTTCCTGCACCCATCCCAAACAGTTGGTCAGAATTGCCAAACAGAAAGGCGCTCCTGGCATCTTGGAATCTGGCCGCCTTTGGCCGGGGACCCTAAGCTCAGCTGTAGGCTTTGGATCCGATGCGATGTTGTAGGACGTGGACAAGGGGAAAGCATCGGCTGAGTGATGCGGATAACGTGGTCAGAGGCAAGGGACCTAGTCGGGTATTCGAGCATTTCTGTTGTAGGGCGGTGGGTAGCCAATCAGGTGCCCTCTTTCAAGACCTGTAGGTGTCTGAATCGGTCCCAACTTCTTTTGAAACCCCTCAGAAGGTCTGGACTTCCTCCAGAAGCGGGAAGACCTTGTCACTCAACCTGACGTGCTGCCAGCCTGTGCTGCGCCTCGGAAGAATATGTTTTTGGGGTGCAAAAATCAAAGGTTGGCCGGGCTGGTACGGAGAGCTAAAGAGTGCTCAGTTTGGGAGTTGATGACCAGGAGGGCATGGACCGTCTCGGAGTGAAGTCACCCATTTGGTGAACGTCCCAATTGGGCAGCTCCAGGGAAGGTATCTCTTACCGCAGTCCTGGGTCTCAAGCTGCAAAGGCTCCAAAACCTGACATCATGGGATTCTCTTTCTGGGGGCTTGGTTACAGGCACTGTTTCTACATGCTTGTGACTTTCAGTTCTTGTGAACCTTTACAGCTTGTTAACACAACTGTCGACTCTGAAGCTTTGCTGGCCACATATCAAGTCAGGATGAAGGTTGTGATTGTTTCCCGTGAGGGCACATAAGTCTGGAATTTTGCCCTTGTCCTTCAGCAAGAGCAGACATCAACATGGGTCGCTTGATCCGTTTTCAATGTTCTCAAAATGCTTGGCATTCCTTACTTCACAATGCATGTTTCGTACAACTCTCCTCTTGTCTGTTCAGGTACTGAATGGCACGTGGCATGCTGACTGCCAAAGCCTGTCGGTCGAAGATTGTAGCTGGGCGCTGCATTGGTGAAGGGGCCCAAGGCTTTCCAATGCCAAATCATAGGCACTGACGTGCCTGAATACTAAGCCACCTTAGCCTTCCATGGGGGCTAGGGTGCTGGGCCAATATGTCGGTCCGGACGCTGCCTGCATCTCTTGCAACACCCAGGCGCCAAGCACTACACGGATTGGGGCCTGCTGTACAAGATTTAGTTCCTTGCCTGGAGGGTTTGTTTTCTTTAGTTTCTTGGAATAGCAGAGTTGTTTGGCGCATTTAGCCCGCTAAACGACAAGTATCTGGTATAGAATTTGGGACGGCTGCCGCGGCAAGGTGCGGCGTATCTTCGTCGAGTTTGTCTTGCATGGCAATTGGAGTCAAGTGTGATGAGAGGCAAGAGGTAGAGATGACTTGGTTCAAAGGCCGGTGTGGAAATGAAGAATAATTATTTCCATGAATCCTGCAACACCATGCTGGGCACTTGGCATTCGCAGCATCCCCGGAAGGTGCAAATGGCCAGGTATGCGACAGCGTGTGCGCGGACAACGGCTTTCCAGATGGCTGCGACAAGGCAAGTTGAGAGAAACTTCGGGATTGCCGTGCTAAACCCAAGCTTTTGGGAAGTTTTTGGCAACCTGGTCAGCGTCATGCAACTTATCTTTCTTGGGGTATGGCCCCGCATTCTTAATCTGAATGGTTGTGCAGTTGCTGTACGAGTACAGGAGAAGATGGCAGAGCTGACAACCAACGAGAAAGTGGCAGCTGCTTTCAAAATGGCTGGCTACACTTGCAGAAGTTTCCATGGGGCCCGCAATTATGCCGGCACTCCCTTTTCAAAGGCCACTCCCAATGACGATTGTGCACCCTGGACAGCTGGCACGCCTGCCAGCAGCATCAACTGCAATGCCAACAGTTACGGTCACTATGCTCCATTGTGCGCCTGCAAGTGAGGTTTGAATGCTTCTAGGTTCGCACTAGATTTTTGACAGTGATTCCCTGACCGGTCGTGTGACCTGGTTGCCTAATCGTAGGATGCTATCACGTTTTGAAAGTGTTGTACTTCGAGCGACGAATCCCATGTCTGCTTTGCTCGTGCAGCTTGCGCCCAGTATGATGACTAGTGTTGTCATTTGATGGGCAGCACTAGGATTTGAACGGTCCGAGTGATCAATGTGAGCAGACATCATTAGATTTTGATGTGAGCAGGGTGTGCTCATGTCAAAGGCTGGAAAGCCTGAACAGTTTCAGAAGCCACGGCATTAGTTTGCATTTTGCCGATGGCTCACACTGATTGCGAGTTCAAAAGGGTGCTCCCTGCAGATGCACGTTTTTGTTTCCAGGGGCAGGTTCTGTTGTGGCAAGCACTAGGTGAGATGGACCTTGAATGGCAAGAATCTTGTTCAACAAGAAGATGCCGACATAGATCCACGACATGCTTTCGCGTTGCTTCCGTTTCATGTCTTATGCCGTGCTTTGAGCCCTATCAGGCATGAGCAGCAGCTGATGCGCAAGTAGCCATTGGCTCGAGCTAGCACTCCCTGGCCCAGCATGGACGATTTATTGAAAGGTTTGGAAAAGCCCACTTGAAATTGTTCTGAGAGGCTCTATGGTTTGTATTTGTGGGAGACGCAGCTTGACCCTGCTTGACTTCTGGAGCTTCAATGTACTTGGAAAGGAGCAACGGTAACGGTTCCGTTTCAGCGATCGACAAGGGGCTCCTGAGTGACCAAAAGCAACTGCCCACGACGCTTCGGAACCGTGTTGAGCCAAATGAACTATACAGCACTAAGCCTAGACACTCCAAAAACATGGAACAGCACAGCCAAAAGCTATTTCGGGCTCAACAACTGCAGAGAGCCTTATGCCATGCTGCTGGGACCTGGCAAACCGCTGCCTTTGCTGACAGTAACAGCCTCAGCATTTCCAACATCGCCAAAGGTGTGAGGAGCTGGCATGAAGGCCCCATCTAGGTGAATGGAAGTGCTTGGGGGCGAATAGAGGGGAAAATAGGGTTATTGTTGGTTATGAGATTGCAAATTGT